AAAAAAAAAAAAAAAAAAAAAAAACAAACAACTGGGAGATCGATCAGACCTTCTTCAAAGAACCTAATACATCATTAATTGCTTTAGAATGTCTATTTAAATTGCATTTAAAACATTAACAAAATCATTTCTTCTCCCCTTTAAATAGAATTTTTTGCAAACTTCTGATGGGGGGTTGCTTTATCTTTCATCTGGAACATTGCTTTGCATTTTGTATGTTTTAAACTACCATCCATTCCTAATTGTCTGTATCATTTAATTTATATGACTACAATAGTTTTTGGAAAAAGACAGATGGTAGAAGGGAAGACATGTTGAAAGCCAAACTTGCTCTGTGGAGTCTGTTTTTTCCTACCTTTAATAAGTGTGAAAATTTGCTACCATTAAAAAAAAAAAGAAAAAAGAAAAAACTGTATTGAAGATTATACATAGTTCAGTTTTTCATCTTCAGTGAAGTCTAGCAGGGCCAGGGAGACAGCTCAGTGGCACAGCACCTGCCTTCCAAGCACAAGCTCTTCAGTTTGATTCTTGGTACCCCTTAGCCCCAACAAAAAAAGTCTAGCAACAGCAACAACATGCTATTTCTGTAGAGGCCCTTTCAAATATTAACTTGATATTTTTTCTGATATTCCTATGTGTTTATTTATAAAAATAAATAAAATGTAAATGTTTAGCCAAACTTAAAATCATATAAATTTCAGTTAATGTTTGGTTAATTGAGTAATACAGTGAAATATAATTCTAACTTTCAGACTAACTTTGGCTTTCCAACTAAAAAAGTTTGTGTAAAAATCATGCTTTATTACACATTCAATTTAGTGATAATTAAGTAGAATGTCATATGTTAGATGGGAAAAGGAAAAAATTATAAAGTTTATATTAAATTTTACAATACAGCCTTAAAATCTTTAAACTATAATAAAATGAGATTTTTGTTATTATTTAGTGAGTTATTTTTTATATTATCATTTTTAAATATTAAAGATTTTTAATGAAATTAGTGCAATGAAAGGGGCTTTAAGCCATAAAATTATCTATTCTCCTTTGTGCTATAGATGAGGACATGGATCCCCTGACGGGGTAAGTGAATAACTCTTTTTAGTATTAAGCCAGGCTTGCTAACCAACCAACAAGGCTTCATACTGCATAACTCTGGGGGTACTACCAGGCCTATTATTGGGGTGCCATTTACACAGACATTCAGGAGATCGGTGGCCTTGGGAGTATGTAGTACAGTGCAGTGGTCTTAGCTTTCAGCTGTGAAATGCTGAATCAGAGAAAATCTTGTCATTAAATCTTTCTTAGACATTTTCCTGAGGTTGTCTTTTAGTATCTAAGGGGGACTGGTTCTAGGACTCCCCTTGGTTACCAAAGTCTGTGGATGCTCAAGTCCCCATTTCTAAAATGGCATAGTACAGATACATCTTTCTCCAAATTTTTTTGTTCTGAGGTGGGTTGAATCTGAGAATTTGGAACCTGTGAATAAGGAAGACCGATAGCATTATTTGTAAGATCTGATTTATCTCTTTTTCTGTAAACTAATGCACAGATGAGAAAAAGTAATAGAGAAACAGTTCACTTAATAATGTTAGTGGAGAGCCAGGCGTGGTGGTGCACCCCTATAATCCCAGCACTCAGGAGGCTGAGGCAGGAAGAGGATCCTTGTGAGTTCGAGACCAGTCTGGGCTACAAAGTGAGCTTAAGGCCAGCCTGAACTGCATAGCAAGACCCTGTTTCAAAAAGAAAAAAAACTCACAATGTTAGTGGAATCCTTTTTTTTTTTTTTTTGCCACTGAGCTAAATCCCCAGCCCCTCATAGTAACATTTTCATATGTTTTTTTTTTTTTTTTTTTTTTTTTTTTTTTTTTGTCTTAATTTAAACCAGATCATATGCTAAGGGTGAGAAATCAGGGTTGAAGTGTCATGATCTCTGCTCAAAAGAGTTTGAAATCTAGCATCTATAGCAAGAAAATGTTAAGGTTGCAATGTTAGGAGTGTTCAGAGGATGCGATATTGGCAATGAGGAAGAAGTGGTCTGCTTTGTCCAAGGCTGGTTGAAAAGGAAAAGCTTTTTTTTTTTTTCTTTCAAAGAAAAGAGGAGGCAGCATACCCAGGCCCTTCCTTCAGAGAACTCAGAATCTTAGAAAGGAATTGGATACCCCTTGATGTCCCTCAGGGAGCTTAGGATGTTTTTGTATTGTGAAGGGGGGTAATAGAGAGATTTAAAGCAGGGAAGGAATAGGAGCAGATCTGAACTTTAGAAAGCTCATTCTAGAGGCTGTGAAGAGTATACTTGTTAAAACAGAGAAGACTGATAGCAAAGAAATTTTAGTGAGAAAATGGAGGGCAGAAACAGAGCCATCATGGAGCACAGAGAAAGGGGGGCACTTCGAGAAATCTATTAGAATTTCAGTCATCTGGATTTGGTGACTGACAAAAGAGTAGGGTATCTAGGATGACTCTAGGTCTCTGGTTGTTCTTGACTGTCACAAATTCTGGCGGATGAACTGGAGATACAGGAAGAGGTGTTAGTGAAAAGGAGATGGTCAGCTCCATTACGAACCTAACCCAGGAGATATGTCCAGAAAATAAACAGATGTAAGGCTTATTAAAGCAGGAGACAGGACTGGCATAGATACGGATGTGTGAGGCATCAGTACAAAGAGGTAATCAAGGCCAGTGGTCTTTAAGAGTAAAAGGAAAAGGAGCTCTCAAAGGAGACTGAAGAGGAGAAGCCGTGGAGAGAAAGAAGCAAAGAGTGGTACAAGGAAGTCAAAAGTTAGGGATTCCACGCAGAAAGTGGGCAACAGTTTCAAGGGCACGGAGAGGTCAAGAAAGATGCAGATTAAGAAGGGTATGTTGCTCTGGCCTATTTACAGATCATTCAATCCGGAGGCCTCTTTGCAACGGGAGCATCATAAAAGGACAGCAGAGATTAGTTAAAGAATACTGTCTTCGCTTAGATCTGGCTTATAGTTCATGCTGTTCAGCACTAGAGCTACTATGAACTTAGAGGAAGGTATCATTTGTATCTGATGCATGACTGACTTAGTGATGGAGTATGCTTCGGTACTCCTTTGACCGGGATCACAGGCAAGAGGCCTCTGCTTCCTTCTCTTACATTCTTAACAAGACTTTTATTACTGATGAGATGAGGAACTGCATCGTCACCTCCAGTGAAGAGACATGACTTACAGATTAAATCTGAGCACTCCATCATGCCAATTGTGCGCCAGAAAACTTTTATCTTTCTGGGTTCCTCTTTTTCCCCATATAATAACTATTACCAAGTGCTGTTGGTTCTACCTAAGTGTTTCTGCGATAGATAATCTTCATTGGCATCTTCACTGGATTGAGAGATGCCCAGAAAATTGGCACAGCACAATTCTGGGTGTGACTGTGAAGGCGTTTCCAGAAAAGACTGTGAGGTGGGTCAGCAAACGGAGTGGGGAAGATCTCCCCCTACCATGGGCAGCACCATTTCCATCGTGGGCTCAGATGGAACAGAAACAGTGGAAGAAGGGAAAAGCTCATGAACACTCGCTCAGTTTGGGGTGTGGGTCCTGGAGGCTACGTCCTCAGCCTTTTATTTTACTTTTTATTTTGAGACAGGATCTGGCGAAGTCACTCAATTGCATAAGCAGGACTCTAGCTTGTGATCCTCTTTCCTCAACTTCCAAGTGCTGGGACTGCAGGTGTGCACCCCCATACCCAGCTGGTACCCTTCTTGAGCAAGTGTGCTCTTTGCTGTTGCTGTGAGTCTTGGATGTCAGGCTCCAGATTCCTCAGCCTTCACTGACCTGCACCAGTCACTCTCTCCTTTCAGGTCTTCAGCCTTGGACTCATCATTGTCTCTTCTTGTTCTGACACTTGCAACCTCCAGGCCTGAGTAGCAGTTCATTTCCTGGCTCCCCAGCCTGCAGATGGCCTTTGTGGCACTATTCAGTCTCTGCTTGTGTAAGGCAATCTAATAAGTCTCCTCTTAAACTTATTTATAGTATATTCTATTCATTCTGTTCTCTGGAGACCCCTGAGCAATACAATCTCACAAACCTATCATTTTGTCTCCAAGCCAACTATCGCTGCTTAATTCAGACCCTATTATTGCTCACTTGGTCTCTTGGTTGTTTTGGCCCAAATCTATTTCCCTGTAGTCCCTGTTAGCCAATGGAGGACAAGGATGCACTTTGTTCATTTTTCTGTACCAGCCTTTATCAGGGTATCTGGCACATAATATATACTCATTAAATGTTCAGCAGTAAGTGTAAATAATGGATATTGTAGCATTCCTATACACAAATGACAAACACACTCAGAGAGAAATTAGGGAAACCATACTTTTCACAGTAGCATCCAAAAAAATGGAAATACTTAGAAATCAATCTAACAAAAGAAGTAAAATAGCTATACAGTGAAAATTACAGTACTTTGAAAAAAGAGATTGAAGAGGATTGCAGAAAATACAAAGATATTCCTTGCTCATGGATAGGAAGAATCAATATTGTGAAAATGGCCATACTCTTGAAATTGTTATACAGATTCAATGCAATCTCGATCAAAATACCATTGGCATACCTCACAGATGAAGAGGAAACGTTCCTAAAATTCATCTGGAACCAGAAGAGACCCAGAATAGCAAAAGTAATCCTGGGCAACAAGGGCAAGGCAGGAAGCATCACAATCCCTGGCTTGAAATTATACCACAAATATACTGTGATGAAATTTGCATGGTATTGGAAAAAAAAAAAATAGACCTGAGGATGAATGGAACAGACTGGAAGATGCAGCCACAACCACAAACACACTCAGCCACCTTATTATTGACAAAGGGGCCAAAGATGTTCAATGGAAGCAAGATAGCCTATGTAATGTGCTGGAAAAACAGGCTTGTCACACACCGAAGACTGAAACTAGACCCATGTCTGTCACCATTCACTAAACTAAAGTCAAAATGGATCAAAGATCTAAATATCAAGACAGAAACACTAAGTCTACTGGAAGAGAAAGCAGGTAGAAACCTTGAAGACATAGGGGAAAGCAGAGAGTTCATGAACAAAACCCAACCTATGTGGGAAATAATTCAAAAAATCAACAACTAGGTTCTCATCTTATTGAAAAGTTTTTGCACATCAAAAGAAATCAGCAGAAGAGTAAAAAGAAAACCCATGAATTGTGAAAAAACTTAGCCAACTGACCCTCAGACAAAGGACTTCTATCTAGAACATATAAAGAATTAAAAAATCAGGCCCCCAATATTCAAAGACCCAATCCCAAAATAGTCATCTGAGATGAATACACACTTCTCGGATAAAGAAATACAAATGGCAAATAAATACATGAAAAAAAGTTCAACATCATTGGTCATTCAGGAAATGCAAATTAAAACACTGAGATTCCATCTCACCCCAGTAAGAATGGTTGTCATCAAGAAATCAACCCATAACAAATGCTGGAGGGACTGAGCTGAAAAAGGAACTCTTCTCCACTGCTGGTGGGAGTGTAGACTGGTGCAACCACTGTGGAAATCAGTGTGGATATTCCTCAGTAAACTAGGATTAGAAGTCCCATTCAACTCAGCTATTCCTCTTCTGGGTATTTTTTCAGAATAACTGAAAACATCACACTACAGCAATATATGTGCACCCATGTTTGTAGCAGCACAACTTGTAATAGCTAAATCTTGGAAACAATCCAAATGACCATCGACTGAGGAATGGATAAAAAAGATGTGGTACTTTTATACAATGAAGTATTACTCAGCTATAAAGAAAGATAAACTTGAGACTTTTATAGGTAAGTGGATGCGACTAGAGACCATATTCATAAGTGAGATAAATCAGACCCACATGTGTAAACATCATATTGTCTCCCTAGTATAAGAACTGAAAGAGTCAATAAAATCTGAAAGTTACAGCAGATATTGCAAAAAGGAAAGAAACTGCTCAAAAGAAAGAACAACTGGGATGAAGGAAAAAGAGGAAAGAAAGACAGAAAAAAGGAAGGGAAAAATAAGTGTGTATATATGTACACACATAAGATAGTTAAGATAATTGTACTACTAATTTCTATTGGTTTATTAAAATGAACAATTAATGTTTAATTGTTTGACAAATCTTACATGCCTATATCTGGTTATCTGAGTAACCACTTTGAAGATAACAATATGTAATACAACAACCACTGTTAATTTCCTATCACCTTGTTTTGAAATTCTGTATTGTTTTTATTGTTTTTATGTTGTTTTGTTTATGTCTGGTTTTGTTATTT